CCAAACAATATAATCTACAGCTACAAACACTGCTCAAATAATCATAGCTAAATCCATAACAGTAGTTTAACTGAGGCAGAGTTCTACTGGGTGGAACTGGTTCATCTCCAAAGGAATTGTGCAAAATAGGGGTATGTTGAAGAGGGACATGTTCTGTAATGAGAACTACTAAAGAGATTGTCTTAAGAAACAAGATGGCAGGTAAAAGCCTAAACTTCAGAGAGGGAAAAATGTACACCTGTTGTCCATCATCATCTAATAAAAGTATCACAGACAATCTTTTGAGCCAGTACTTCATGTCAGATTGCAACAGTTTGCAATCCAATGTATTTAACCGAGATTGTTCGGGGAAATAGAAGCAAAAGACAAACTGCACCTTCCAGATTGCAGTGTGATGCAGAACTGTGTCTGCCATTGAAGTCTGCTAATCACCAAGAGCACAAGTCGCTGTTCTGTCCATGCCAGGCTCTGCTGGCAGTCAGACTGCTCAGACAGGGCAACAGTGTGGATGGGTTTGTTCCTGCATGACCATCAGGCAAGACGAGGTGCAGCCATGGGCCTTGGAAGAAGATATGGCCCCATCAATTCACACGTGCTTTGGTTTCTCCTTAATCACAGCTAGTATGCCATTTCTCTTTGATACTGGCTGTTAATTTTATAATTGAACAGTGGACTGCAGCTATGGTGGAAAGGGAAATAGTCTTCTGGAATTTAATAGCATAAATTGGAAATAAAAATACATCTCCAAACGTTGCATTTTAAATAATGCTGTATTTCTTAGGAAAAAAAAAAAAATCTCCAGATAAGAATGGAGTGTTTTTCTTAGACTTGCTAACTTTTGAAGTTGACTGATGCATGCTTAGGTTGCACATATTGAAACTGTTTGAGTATAAGAAAAGTTAATGGATTTCCAGGAGCTCTGTGTGAATATTTGTTTAGCTTTTGCACCCCCCATTTGAAGTGTAAGATCTATTTGCATTGTGCAAATCTGAATCACTTGCAGCTTTATTGGAAAATCTCCACTGCTTAAAAAAATCTGCTATGATAATTTAACTCATCAGCATGATAATGCCTTAGGAAATGAGGTCAGTTCAGATACAATAGGCTAAAGTTCAGCATGGATTCCAGTTTTTGTTGCTAATTGCAAATGCATATGTTTTCTTCTTAAAATTCCTTTCCATGGTTGTGATGCTAGTTTTAAACATCTCCTATTGGAGTGTGATTTTAAAAGAGTGGTAGTGTTTTGCTCAATGGCAATTTTTTTTAGTCTCATGGTTTTTCTTGATATAGAAGTCTTACAAAGAAATATAAGAATGGGAAAGTAGATGCACTAAGCAGCATATAAAGGAGTATTTGATGAGCTCAGAGAGGGCATGTTGCTAGCAATAATCGGCAGCTGACAAAGCTCAGAAGCAGCTTGTCTCTGAAACAAAGATTGCAATTGTTAGGCAGCATTTGTTTAGGGGGCTAAGCCACTTATCCAACCTATTTCCACTAATTCATGTAATGCCAAGAAGAAAAATACTCCAGATACCTCTGAATAACTACTACAGCCCTAGAAAGCAGCCCAGTCTTTGAAATTATTTAAAAAATAACAACCAAAACAAGCAGCAGGGGAGAAAATGCAGAGTGTGGCAAAGAGTAAGATGTTGACCTGTATTTGAACATTGGAGGAGTACCCAGAGGACTGGGACTGAAGATGGAGAGTAAGTTATCACTGACGTTCTCTGGAATGATATCCAATAAATCATGACATAGAGAAGGCTGTAGGTTGCACTTGAGCCTTCTATCCAGTTCCAGCAGCGACCTCAGATAATTCGCTGGTGCACAATGCATCTCAACTCCCTGCTGCAGATCCTTGCTTCACAGCGATGGCTGGATTTAATTTACTGACTATACATGTAGTGCCTGCAGGGTTGGTGGGGCTGCAGACTACTGTGATCACCTGAATGTGTAATTGTGTGAAAAAAAAGAAGGAAGTGGATTTCATTTTCCACAAGGCGCGCTTTCCACTTTTGCAAATAACAAAAGTGGATGCAAAAGTAGCAGGAATGTACATTAAACTAGCCAAGAATTAAGTGGATGGAAAAAAATCACCACGAGGGCATTTTAATTGGTGACTAGAAGAATGTTTTCCTAATGTGTACTTCCTACAGGAGGACATCCATTGTTTTGTTTCAGACCAGAAATTTCAAATTTCAGAGGACACAGAACAGCTCCAAAAATTTTAGAGCTGCTTTTTTTTTTTTTTTTTTTTTTTTTTTGCCCTGAGTGTCACATTTGTAGTACAATCAAAATACATCTTTACACACACATATAATATTTAGCCTACATATATATCATACAACACAGCAAGATGTATCAGTTAGTGATCATGAAGTGACCTGGAAAATGGGATTTTTAGATATTAAAATGATTGTACAAGAAGGTGAAGAGAAGAAATACTCCATGAACAGCATAAGCATACAGCGATAGATGGAAGACAGGGCTAAAATGGGAAAGTCACTCTAAGAGACAGTTGGACTTTGCCATTCTGACATTTCATCTCATGGAGGTGAGAAGAGAGAGTCAGAAACTGGTAGCAAAGAAAAAGTAGGAAGACTAAGATGAGGAAAAATGGAATAGGTATTGCTGTCATCAGGCAGTCTTAAAATAGATTTTGGATAAGCAAGAGACGTGCAGGAGGCAGACATAGTAACAGAAAAGAAAGAAGAGCTAATTACTATGTATCTTCAAACATCCAACCAGATCCAACCTCTCCTCTCTCAGTTTTCTGGCACCTGAAATAACACCTGATAATCTGGCTTCCGTCGTTTAACACTGCATGCTCCTGAAATCAGGGGGGGAAAAGTGTTCTTATAGTCTCCAACATTCTTTAACAGAAAGAAAAAAGAAAAAAAGGAAAAAAAAAAGGAAATAGGTCAGATATATTTGCTATTCCAAGGTTGGATTTTGGTGCAGTTCTGTACTCAGAGATTTGAATTAACATCACTGTTGGGACTTTAGACATGCTCTAAAGCTCTGCATTTAGTTGCATCATCTGATGCTTTGGCAAATTCTCATGGACTCATGAAATAGCTGATAGATGTAACACCTCAGGCGGTCACCTTACACGCAACGATAAACCCGCTGTTGTGCTTAATGAGGTCAGTGAAGCATCCAGAGAAGACACACATACTACTGCAGTGTGGGTCTGTGCTGCCTGGGCTTTTTAGGCTTAATGAAGCCGATCCTCAGTGGCTGGGTATTCTTGTTGAACAGTCTCAGTGCGGATTTTAAAACCAGTATTGCTGAAATGAAATGAGGGGCAGAGTCCTATTGTTTTTCTTGCCTGTTCTCTGAATGCTACATCCACTGTAAGCTCGCTCATAGCCTGCAGCTTCCCCTCTAGGTTGTACACAGTCTGAAAATCCCGACAGGAATCCCACGCGACGTGCACGTAGACCGACGCTTTCCTATTTCTAAGAATCCAAGTGCCCACGGGAAAAGTTGCATCCTAGCGTCCCTGCCACATCCTCGCACATCACACGGACTGCCCGTCACAGTCTCCCGTTCAGGAGGCTGCAGGGAGCGGTGCCATTTGCTCACATTACAGGATTTCTTTTAAAGGAAACACTTTCGTTTAAAGAGTGAATGAGCTTTTAGTTTTTGAAGGTGTTGCTTCCCACTGCGGTGCGGTACAAATAGGAGCGGTGCCTGAGGCTGAACGTTTTCAGCGAGGATCAGAGGCAGCGCAGACAGGAACGTGCCCAGTTGCAGTGTGAGTGTCACAGGGGTAATCCACGGCAGTGTGGCTCAGTGGCCCGCGTCCCGAAGCCGTGTTCAGAGCCTTCTCCGCACGCAGGCAGTCAATCTGCCCGCACGTGCAGGCACGCAGCCTCCTCGCTGTACACCTGCGAGCGGCGACACACGAGGCACCGAGAGTTTCACTGCCCAAGCACCTCTGTGCTGACGAGCAGCCACCACTTGCTTCCCGGCTGCCACCCAGGCATCGCATAAAATACACTCTAAGCGATGGGGAAAGGAGCAGAGAGGAGGCCGTGATTTCCACCGCACCGCGTGGCACGGGTCACCCCTGCACGCTGTTTCGGCGGCTCCGCGTGACAGCGCCGGCTGCGGGCAGCAGTGCCGCGCTCCGGGTGGCCGTCCGGGGTTCTGGGGGGGCGGCCGCTTCTCCTCGCACAGCTTCCCCTCCTCGCACGGCTCCCAGCGCGGCCGGGACAGCCTCCAGGTGCAGGGCACGCACGGCAGAGGCACAAAGGTAA